TCCTCTGATGCTGCCTGGCCTGCTGTGTTCATCCAGCTCTACACCTTGTTTTCCCATGTACCTGTCTGCCGACCCTGCTCCCCCTTGTCCATGTGAATGAAGTCCCTGATTGCTGACACCACACTTTCTTATCCTGCCTGGAGCTGAGCTGTAACTTGGTCTTCAGCAGTCCTCTGGTGCCAGTGACCTGGTGTGTTTCTTCCTTGGCCAGCCATGGAGCTGTTGCAGTGATACACTAATCACATTGTGCCCCCACAATTTCTGAAGTTAACTTGCCTATGGAGGTGTCAGTATCTGAGGTGGTAAGGGTTGCAGGAGGTGGTCTTGCCAATGTTTCCTCTGAAGCTTTGATATTCTTGGCCTCGGAGATTGAGGTGGTGACTTCTGGGGGACCTGACCATTTCACCGTAGTGCTGGTGGAGATGCTAGTGGTAGTTGCAAGACATGGGGGAAAGAAAACGTGCAGCCAGTGCATAAACGTGATGTGCAATGAATGAGACTTAGAGTGGAGTTAATGTGAAAGTTACAGTGGAATGAAGAGTGGCACTTACTTGGTTGGCAGGACATCATATCATAGAGTCATCGAGATGTACAGCAGGGAAACAGACCCTTTGGTCTAACTCGCCAATGCCAACCAGATATCCTAAATTAATCTAGTCCCATTTGCCAGCATTTGGCCCATATCCCTCTAAACCCTTCCTATTCATATACCCATCCAGATGTTATTTAAATGTTGTAATTGTACCAATCTCCAACTCTTCCTCTGGCAGCTCTTTCCATATACGCACCACCCTCTGCATGAAAAAGTTGCCCCTTAGGTCCCTTTTATATTTTCCCCCTCTCACCTTAAACCTATGCCCTTTAGTTTTGGACTTCCCTACCCTGGGAAAAAGACCTTGACTATTCACGTTATCCATGCCCCTCATGGATAACCTCTATAAGGTCACCCCTCAGCCTTCGATGATCCAGGGAAAATAGCCTCAGCCTATTCAGCCTCTCCCTGTAGCTCAAAGCCTCCAGCCCTGGCAACATCCTTGTAAATATTTTCTGCACCCTTTCAGGTTTACCAACTTGTTTCCTATAGCAGGGAGATTGGAATTGAATGCAGTATTCCAAGAGTAACCTAACCATTGTCCTGTACAACCACAACATAGAGTCATAGAGTCACACAGCAATGGAAACAGGCCCTTCAGTCCAACCAGTCAATGCCGAACATAATCCCAAACTAACCTAGTCCCACTTGCCTGTTCCTGGCCCATATCCCTCCAAAACTTTCTTATTCATGTATCCATCCAAATGTCTTCTAAACATTGCAATTTACCTTCATTCACCACTCCCCTATACTCAGTACTCTGACCAATAAAGGCAAGTGTACCAAACGCTTTCTTCACTACCCTGTCTACCTGTGACTCCACTTTCAAGGAACTAGGAACCTGGTCTCTTTGATTCGCAACACTCCCCAGGACCCTACCATTAAATGTATAAGTCCTGCCCTGATGTTTCAGCATTGCCGCAGGAGCACTTCCATGTTTCTCCTGTGAGGACCAGGATTTTCCCTTATGAGTAGGAGCCAGGAGCTGAGCAGTCAATGTTGGGCACCACTCCATCATCCAGTTCCTGTTGTAGACCTTTCCCCTCCTGGAGTCAGAGACTGGGAAGGATTGAGTGAAGTGAAAGCGGGTGGCATGTTGAAAGGTGGTGAGGTGACCCAGGAAAGTGGGTAGGGAGTGCAGAGGCCATGATGGGTTAGTGATTTGGGTGGTTGGATGGAAATGAGAGCAAGTGAGAGAAGGAGTCACAGGCAATAATGAGTGCGACAGAGCGTGAGCCGTGGTGGGAGGTGGGTGCAGGAGCAGAGATAGAGTGAGTGTGAGGTAGTGGAGAGAAGAGTGTGACAATTACCCAGGAGGAGCACCTCTTATTGCACTGCTGGCCATTCCTCCATACTGTGGAGAATGCACTGAGCGAAGTGGTGACCTCAGACCAATGTGCCAGGGTCATGGTGGCATGGCCTTGTCTGCTGGTCCTGGGAGAATAGGACTCCCCTCTTTTACACCATTGACCGGGATCTCCAAATACCTTTCAGAGAATCACGGCACCATCGTCTCCACCAACATTTTTACAACTCTATCATCACCTAGCAAGATAGCTTCAGAATGCCAGTGCTCAGCTGGGTACACAGTGGCCAGTCAAAGATGGCAGGGCACCAGGGATGCTGGTCTTTTGGCGGATATCCAATGAATGGCAAGTTATTCTGGGAATAATAAGATGAAGCAAGAATTGGCAAGGGACTCCACGGGGCGGGTGTGTAGTCAATGAAGTGCATTTGGTAAGGTATGGTGAGAAAGCGCACTAGGTTTCATGGCGAAAATCCCTCCAAAAATCTGGACACAACCCTCAACTGTGCCCAAAAGAACATAAGATTCAGCTCTTAAGTGTGAAATTGTGGAGGAGCAATGGGCTATTCTGTCTATCTGACCCTTGATAGACAGTCAGGCTATTCAACTGCATAAATTTCACAATACTGTCTTTGCTCAGCATAGACAGATGATTCTTTTCAAATTGGTGCCTGAATACTGATGAGGAGTGCTCCATCACTGCTGCAGAACCTAGCCCCGGGTTATAATGCACATTTTCCCAGGACTAAATGAGAGTTGCCACTGTCACTGAACCTGGGCCACACACTGATCATTTTGTCTCAATATCATCTTGGGTGGAATGTTTAGCTGCTAGGGAGCTAGAACTACTACAGCAGGCCCACCTTTCATGCATCTGGTTTGTACTTATACACTGCAATGGTGCACTCTTCCAATGATAGCAGACACAAAGTCAAGATTACACAAAGGAAACTTTGCAGTGTCATCAGGAAGCTTTCTCAGACACTGAGTGATCGAGATGATTAATGGTGAGCCAACTGAAGCTGAAAAACTCTGGAGTCATAAAGTCATAGAGTCATACAGTGTGGAAACAGACCCTTTGGTCCAACTTGTCCATGCTGACCAGATATCCTAAATTAATCTAGTTCCGTTTGCCACATTTGGCCCCTATCCCTCTAAACCCTTCCTATTCACTTACCCATCCAGATGCTTTTCAAATGTTGTAATTGTACCAGCCTCCACCACTTCCTCTGGCAGCACATTCCACACACACACCACCCTCTGCATGAAAAAGTTGCCCCGTGGGTCCCTTTCAAATTGTTCCCCTCTCACCTTAAACCGATGCCCTCTAGTTTTGGACTCCCCCATCCTGTCCACCTGCAACTCCACCTTCAAGGAACTATGAACCTGCACTCTGAGATCTTTTGAAAGATTCTGTGAGCAGAGTGTCATAAGCTGTTTTTGGATGGGTGAATGGAAGGGCCTATTTTGTCCTTGCAATATTGTTCAAAATCTGCAATTATTATAGAAAATGTCCTTCATTTGTAAAATCTGCAGAAGAACATTACAAAAGTACATGTGAGTTTAAACCTTGGCACTGCCTCCCTCACAATCTTGTAGGTGTGTGGACTGCAGTGGTTCAAAAGGGCTGCTCATCACCACCTTCTCAAGAGCAATTAGGATGGACTATAAATGCTGACTCTGACAATGATGCCCAGTGAAAGAAACTGTAGCGATTGGAACCAGGGCTGGTTGGATCTTATTGACTATGAGATCCTTGATTGAGGTTGTTAACCTGGTGCAATCAGGGAGTCCTAGCTGATATGTGAAAACAGGAAATTCAGAGAGTCTCATCATTCTAGAGACTGGCTCTGAGCTGGCCGGTCAGAGTTCATGAACTGTGCACATGTAAGTAAAAGGGTGACTTGGTGATGGGATGCTGGCCTCTGCAGTTATTTCAATTACAAATTTGACATTGCAAGATGTGCAATCGTTGTCTAGTCAAAAGTTATTGGGGGTAGGTGGGAATTTGGAGTTGAGGCCACAATCAGAGGAGACATGATCATATTGAGTGATGGAGCAGGCTGTGTTTTTGTTTGTTTGTATTATAGTCTGCCTTCTGTCAAGGACTGTATGGTTCTCTGAAGTGCCTCATTACACTTACAATTTCAGGTTATATTCACAAGATATGTCTACCTTTCTTGGCAAACATTCTCTGATGCATAAAGTCTGAGCTGTTTTCCAGCTCCCTTATGTACTAAGGCAGCAGGGTTTTACACTATGGCCTTTCACCATTGAGCCTTTGCAGAAGCTACATCAAGATTTACTGCATCCCTCACCACACAGTCCTGAACCTTACAATATGCCCAGCACTCAGCTGTAAGCAGTTCTTTGCAATGAGATATTTGCACTTGGTAAATGAGAACAAACTATCTGATCAGAGATGTGTCGAAAAGAGAAAGAATTTTATTAAAGAAAAGCTTCTATTTACCTTGACAAAATTCCAGACACATTGATAAAGAAAAACATGAATAATAAGTCATTGGCATAGTTGAGAGGGTCTAGGATCTTAACAATAATGAAACAGGCTGATGATGATAACAACAGGTAATCTCGGGACATTAATATTTATTTTGCACTGTGTTGACATCTTCCAGACATTTATTTTCTTTGCAGCTACAAAGCAATGCAGGCAACCTGAGATAGTTTGTGCCATTTATGTAATGTTATGCTAATTTAAATAACATTTCCAAATTCTCCCAGTACTGAATGTTCCATCACTGCTGATGTGTTTTCTGTTCTCTATCATCGATGTGATTTGAGTCCTTCATCTCCAATGTTACGTGCAACTTTAATTTGCATAAAAGCTTCCGAAGCACAGTCAACTGTAATTAAAGAAAAAAGCTGCAGCTTTCAAACTCCGAATGCCCCAGTTTCAAAGAAGCTCTGTTGTAGCACAGTAGTCCACACTCATGACCCCAAGCTGTTTGGTACAAAACTCTGGATAAGGGTTGGGGGGAAAGAAAATACTCCATGGTGTCCTCATCCTGATGGCCACCTTTGTGTGCAGCTGCATCAAGCTGTGCGTAGAACTTGGTACGCCAAATGTTACTATGTGCTGAGGTTCTACCTGTCCCCACTGTTACGAAGGATGGGACTGGCATTGCTGCCGCGGAACACCCCAAGTAGTTCGACCATCCTGTATTACCCATCCTTCATGTTGAAATTTGCAAAGAAAAGCACCCTGACCGCAAGTCCATGAGGAAATTATCAGCACGTAAAGTCCTTGAGATCCTGAAGGACGAGGAGAGGGTGGATCGTGTTGCATGGTTCCCTGAGCAGATTGGCAAAGCCATTTGGCAGAATGCCTCAGCACCAGAGCTTTCCAACAAGCACCAAGATATCGCTTGGCTGATGGTGAGAAGGGCACTACCTGTAAGATCCTATGTGTATGTCTGGATACCCTCCGCCGCCTCATGCTGCCCTCGAAGCAGCTGTGGTGGGTTAGGGGTGGGGGTGGTTGCGTTGGAAGCATTGAGAATATCACATATCTCTGGCTGGAATGTGCCTTTGCAAAGGAAGTCTGGAGAGAGATGCAGTGTTTCTTGTTGAGGTTCATCCCGAGCAGCTCCATGACATAGGATTCTGAGCTCTACAGTCTGTTCCGCACACTGAGACAAACATCAACTCGCCTGGAGGACCATCAGCTCGGTGAAAGACGCTCTTTGGTCTGCCCGAACCTTGTTGGTCTTCCTCTGTAAAGACTTGACCCCGATGGAGTGTTGCAGACTGGCACATTCCAAGGTCCATGACTACGTGCTGAGGGACGCACTAAAGCTTGGGGCAGCTGCTGCCAAAGCGCAGTGGGGAAAGACCACCATTTAAGGTCTTTTTGTCAAAGCGTAACAAGGGTCCGTACAGATGTTAGGCTCTCTCAGTGCCTCCAAATGAATGTGAAATTTTTTTTACATAAGTAGAAAATGTATTGTTTTTGCAGCCATAGAAAAGCCCTGAGAAAGATAAAAATTCTCAGAATTTTGTTTTTCTCTGGAAACACTGTATAGAACTAATTTAGAACATTTGTATATACATATACACGATTTATGAATCAAGTGTATTTTTGAACTTAAAAAAAAACAAGCTCCTGAAGGCCTGACATTTTAATTCTCCACCTTGCTTTCATGCTGAGATATCTATCCTCAGTATATGGTAGTGTTCCAGTGAACCTCAATGTAAACTTGATGAATTTGCTTAGGCACTTATAGACTTCTGGACTCAACATTGAGATTGAATACTTCAAACTGTAATCATTTCTGCAGGCCCCTGCCTCTTCAATTTTGTTCCTTTTTCTTTGCATGTCTCAGTTTTAATCCTGTTTTTCTTGTCTTTGCTTTCATTTGGTTGCTATTCATTACTCTGCGGTTCACACTGCCTCTGAACCCATCTTTTGGATTACATTTTCAAGTAACTTCATCACAATCCTGCAACTGCTTCGCAATGATATGACTTTAGGAAAGATGTTGTGAAACTTGAAAAGGTTCAGAAAAGCTTTGCAAGGATGTAGCCAGTGTTGGAGGGTTCGAGCTACAGGAAAAGGCTGGATAGGCTGGGGCTATTTTCCCTGGAGCGTCAGAGGCTGAGGGGTGACCTTATAGAGGTTTATAAAATCATGAGGGATGTAGATAGGGTGTACAGCCGAGGTGTTTTCCCCAGGGTAGGAAGGTCCAAAACTACAGTGCATAGGTTTAAGGTGAGAAGGGAAAGATTTAAAAGGGACCTGAGGAACAATGTTTTCATGCAGGGAGTGATGCGCGTGTGGAATGAGCTTCCAGAGGAAGTGGTGGAAGCAGGTACGATTACAACATTTAAAAGGCATCTGCATGGGTATATGAGTGGGAAGGGTTTAGAGGGATATGGGCCAAATGCTGGCAAATGGGACTAGATTAATTTTGGATATCTGGTTGGCGTGGATGAGTTGGACAGAAGGTCTGCTCCCGTGCTGCTCCCGTGCTGTACATCTCTATGACTCTATGACTATGGCAGACCTGAAACAGCCACCCTTCAGAATCTCAACTGGTACCAACCAAGGCTGTTTGATAGTCCCCTGGTTACTGTTTGCAATGTATCTGAAAGAACCTGTTCACCACAATAAAGATTGTCTGCCCAAAGGTGTAAATATGAAATATCGTCAAGATGGAAAATTCTTTAATCTGTAACCTTTACTCCAAACCTAAACTAACCCTCATGGCCATGATCTACAGTAAGCAGGATGGTAGAAACCTGAAAAGGTTGGCCAATTAGATAATTGTGTTTCTAATTTCACAGCCCATTTTTAATGTTGCCCCTTTATTCTTTTTCACCATAATAGACATTGACTTTCTGCTGCATTTATTACTCAGCCAGGTGTTAAATAAGCAACAGTGATAACATTTCCAATGCCAACTTTCATTATTGCGCGTACATGAGATTGTTATCAGCAGGAAGGACAAGGAGGCTGTTACTAGCTAGTCTCATGAAATCAGAAGAGAAAGTTTCTATTTTTAAAAATATGTCGCAATGAAGCTTGAGAAGCACAGATAAGATGTGGTGAGATGATCTCACCAAATAGCTCACCTGAATCTTCCTGAAATAACTGCACAGATTATGCCGGGTCCCATCACCAAGTTACCCTTTATTTACTACGGCACAGTACACTGGCTCGGAGTCAGCTCTCAAACTGAGGAGATTCTAATCTCCAGGTTATATATTTTGATCTCTTTCTTTTTCTTTATTTTAGCAGCAGTGCTTATTTTCCCCAGCAGCCATGTATGCGTGTAGGTGGGAGACACAATGAAAAAAAACACCAGGTATGTGTATAACTTTATTGTTGGTCCCCTACCAGGAAAAACACCCATGTGACCAAAGAACCAGTAGCAAGCAGAGGCCTTGGGGGCAATGCCTATGTGAACGAAAAGGTGAAGGGGAGGGTAGGGATCAAATCAAAATAGAATTGGAGAAGAGCAAGTTTCTATTTCCTCTGTTAATTGGAATTTGCTGGAGAAACCAGTTGTTTTAATTGGTACTAATACATCAGCAATTAACATGTCGGCTGGAATCTGAAATAAGTGCAAAAATAACTGGAACACCTCAGCAGGTCAGGCAGCATCAATGTACTGAAGCATAGTCCTGGATTTTCCCACTTTGGTCTAATTGTGCCTGTAGATGTGATACACACCCCTACCCCTCACTGATAGGAAAATCTGGCAGGTCTAGTGCCAATCAGGGACTAAGTGCTGATCTAGCGGGCTTCCTGACCAATCAGTTGCTGCGATAGCAATGTCCCACTCAGCGTTTCCTCTAATTTTCTTTCCGGCTGCTTGGCCCTCTGAGGCCAGAACATGTCAGTGATTTCCAGAACCAGAAGTCAATGCTGCAGTTGGTATGCTGACGCTGATCACCATGTGAAGAACCTTGGATCTGCTGTGCATGTGCTCAACCGCACAGCTCAGAGAGAAACCCCAACTGAGGCTGCTGGGAAGGTAGGTAATCAGGCTGAAGTCCTGAAGTGGTTGTTAATTGATCACTTAAGAGCCTTAATTGGTGGTGGGTCAGGAAGGCCAATTATGGGCCTTCTAACCCAGAACGTAATAACTGAACTGGCAGCACTGAGGCAGGTATCTCCCTGGTGTAAACTTCCGTATGCAGATGACAATGTCATGTCCGCTCCCTCCATAGAAGCCAATAGCACTGGCATTGAAGCCATGATCATCCAAAAACAACTCCGCTGGGCCAGCCACCTGCTTGGGATGCCTGAGTTCCATTTGCCAAGGCAAATGTTCTTCACCCAGTTGAAGGAAGGCACTCGAACAAGAGGAAGACCAAGAAAGTGCCTCAAAGACTCCCTGAAGAAATGCAACATAAATGTCAATGCCTCAGGAGACACTCGCACAGAAGAAATTGACTTGGAGGCAGCTCCTGTATGAAGGAGCATAATTCCTCGAGAACACTCATTGGCAGGAGGATGTCCGGTAAAGAAACAAGAGACAGGAACACCAGTGACACTGATACCAAGGACCAATTCCACCTCCTGGAAACATCTGCCAAATGTGTGATTGGAGATATGGATCTTGGATCAGAACCATTAGCAACACAAAGACTCACAGAACCCAAGCTCAATGACTAGAATTTCCCAGGTGGACACTCATACTTGTTAGCGAGTGTTTGCCAATGACAACGTCAAGTTGCACTTTGTGCTACATCTAGGGAGGAGATAATCATAGCCGACTTCATGTTTCAGGTTGATGAATGTTCATCAAACCAATCGTTCATTAGCATCTTTATCTGCTAGATGTACAAATGTCTGTTGATCACAGTCATCATAATAACAGGAGTGATTTCTGAGCTTGCTGTGCCAACCTCTGACATTGGAAACAGCAATAGCTGTAGAACACTTCTGATTATCAGGCAAAACAATATTTTTTTCCTTAAGAGATAGTAAGAACTGCCGATGCTGGAATGAGAGATAACACAGTGTGGAGCTGGAGGAACACAGCAGGCTGTGGAGCATCAGAGGAGCAGGAAAGTTGACGTTTCGGGTTGGGATCCTTCTTCAGAAATGGGGGAGGGGGAAGGGAGCTCCAAAATAAATAGAGAGAGGAGGTGTGGGGCTGGGGAAGGTAGGTGGGATGGTGATAGGTGAGTGCAGGTAGGGAGTGGTGGGGATTGGTCAGTGTGGTGGGAGGAGCGGATAGTGAGAGAGAAGATGGACAGGTTGTGTCAGGTCAAGGAGGCGGGGATGATTCCTTCATCTGATTTCTTCTCATCTTGGTTTGTTGATTTAGTTTCCTACGATTCAAATTGTCACTAGTTTCACAGAACTGAAGATTTTAGACTCTTTTCTTAGCCCTTATTTCAAGGAGTTTAAAGCATAAGAGTAGGGAAACTTACTGCAACTGTACAAGCTGCAAGGGGGACCACATCTGGAGTACTGTGAGCAGTTGTGGTCCCCTTTTTTAAGGAAAGATATCATTTCATTGGATGCATCAGAGAAGGTTCACTTGGAAGATCCCTGGTATGGAAGGATTGTCTTATGAGCAAAAGTTAAACAGGTTGAGCCTCTACTCCCTGGAGTTTAAAATAATAAAAAGTGATCTCATTGAAACATACAGGATTCTTAAGGAACTTGACAGGGTTAATTCTGAGAGGATGTTTCCCCTCATGGGAAAGTCTAGGACTGGAGAGCATAATCTCATAATTAAGGGGTGCTAATTTAAGTCTGAGAAGAGGAGGAATTTCTTCTCTGAGGGTTGTGAGTTTTTGGAACTTCTTGCCACAGAGAGCTGTGGATGTATACTCCTTGTGTATATTTAAGGCTGAGATAGATAAATTCTTGATCAGTTAGGGAATGAAGGCTTATGGGGAAAGGACAGGAAATTCAACATCGGGAATTTCGATCAGCCATGATCTTATTGAAAGGTGAGCGGGTTCAAGGGCACGAGCAGCCTCGTCTTGTTCCTATTTCTTACGATCTTATCAAGTACCTTTCAAAATAAGATCAGGAGTAGATTGGGTTCATTGTATCAAGAAATTAAAATGATAGAAGAGGTATCACGAAGAACAGCACTGCTTCCTCCAAGTGCAAATCAGTTTAGAGGGCTTGTTGTAATGCATTTCCTCTGTTAATTCGGTAGGTATTGAGTGGATGGTTTCTTTCGTGGGGAGGTCAAGAACTAAGAGACAGAGTTTTAAGTGACAAAAGCTGAAGTTGCTGGAAAAGCTCAGCAGGTCTGGCTGCATCTGTGAAGAAAAATCAGAGTGAACATTTCGGGTCCGGTGACCCTTCCTCAGAACAGAGGAAGGGTCACTGGACCTGAAACATTAACTCTGATTTTTTTTTTTAACAGATGCTTCCAGACCTGCTGAGCTTTTCCAGCAACTTCAGTTTTTGTTCCTGATTTACAGCATCCACAGTTCTTTCATTTTTTATTGAAAAATACATATTTAAGACTGAGATGGGGAGGAATTTCTTCTCTCAGAGAGCCATTTGTTTTCCCCAAAGGGCATTGCAAGCTGGATTATAGAATATATTCAAGGCTGAATTAGACAGATCTACAAGGGAGTTGAGACTTATGGGGACTGGCAGGGAAGTAGAGTTGTCACAATTATTATGATCTTATTGAATGGCAGAGCGAGCTTGAAGAGCCAAATGGCCTATTCTTGCTCCTACCCCTTATTGCTCTTATGATCTCAGCTGAAAGTGTGAATGGCAATTCACAATTGATTGTAATGCCCTCCATAGTCCAGTAGTCTTCTAGCGCTCAGGGAGTGGACTGCAATGGTACTTTTCCTGTGAAAGTGCACTTGAACATGGCCTTTAGTAGTGGAACATGAGTCAGGAGGAAAATTATGGTCATAGAAAAGAGCAAAAAAAAATTGTTCTGCATTGGACTGTGAACACATAGAGAAGAGCAGTTTAAGATAACTGCAATAAAGATGAAGGGATTTGAGGACAACCCAGGTTTTGTTGAACAGTTAATTGAATCTCTGGCTAGGAACAGCTGACAGATGGTTGAAAACTCAATTCTTAATTGTTAGTGATATTAAGGCCCAGCAGCTGGCCAGCTTGTGAAATCATCCTGTTGGATCTACAGAATCCTCACTCCTCCCTCTAAGCTCCTCAGGATAACTGCTGAACACTGTTATTAGGTACATCTGGGACATTCAACGTCCTTATGCTCCCGATAGCGCAAACATGTCATGCTTGTTGTTCATCAGTTGCATATTCAGCCATCTCAAGGTCAAGCTGTTTCTGCAGATCTTCTTGTCTCAGTTCACCGATTATATTATCACAAACTAAAGAATGAACGGTAGCAAAAACAAATGTGGAATGGAATAATCCAGTCAGATTAAAGATGTAAACAAAGGAGTGATATCGATTGAGTTTCTCTGTTTTTCATTCAGAGCAGAGGTACAGTTTGTTATTGTTGACAAATGCTGTTGCGATTACAAGTTGTGTCCAATGCCAGAGTTATTAAGGATCCTGCATTGAAATGTTCACGACACAATTAAATTTTAACAGCCTGCCTTAAAACGTTGACCCAAAATGCAAAGCTCTTGAGCAATTTGATATTTAAATTTGAAGGAAAATTTACTAATTTCTCTAGTGCATGGGAACAAAGCTGTAGGAAAGCCATTTATTTCACAAAATGTGACCTTTGTGTGAGTTGTGAATGTAGGATAATGCTCCAACGTTGTGCTGATGGATTGCTGTAAGGTAGAAGAAGGTGCTAATTTTTCGGACTGGTGATAAAACCAAGTCTCAGAATGCGCTTGTCCTCTTGAATATTCAAAGCAGATGGGATGAATGGCAGAATCGCTTTTCTTCTGGAATACAGAAGGCTGAAAGGCAGCCTAATAGAAGTCCTTGAAATGATGAAAGCCTTGATAGAATCGATACAGTACAGAGGGAACAGGTAACTAGAGGCCATCTGTATAAGACTGTAACCAAGAAATCCAATAGGGAATTCAGAAGAAACTTTTTTAACACCCAAGAGTGGTGTGAGAATGTGGAAGTCACTACTACAGTAATAGTTTGGAGTGAATGGTATTGATGTGTTTAAGGAACGGTTAGACAAGCATTGGACAAGTTGAGGAAGAAGGGTGAATCAAGGGTGACAATGGTAGATTTTGATGAGGAAATACAGGAAGAGGCTCAAGTGTTGTAGAACAGATGCACTTAGGGGCTCAGGTACATAATTCTTAGAGGTTTGTGTCACATATAGACAGGTTGGTTAAAAAGGTGTTTGGCACACTTGCTTTCATTGCTTGGACCTTTGAGTATGGGAGTTGGGAAGTCATGTTAAGGTTG